CAGGAGGAGTGACTGCAAGGAGAAAAGTGAGTTGAAGGGAAAAAAAGGAATTGAGTAGGTGGAAATTCATGTGTGACTGTGAGAGGTGCAACGCAGTAAGGAAAAGTACTGCTCCGCTCTGAAATAAATAGATCTGAAATCATGTTCTACAGAGAGCTCGTGAGTGCTGGGTGGAGGGAGCACTGTCACGCTGAAGTGGCACTGAGGCTGTTTGCTGCAGTCACACGGAGACATTTCAAACAAGAATATACCCACAGCACATTTCAGGGCAGCACGGGAGGAGAGGAAGCCCTTAGTGTCTACCCTAGAGTTGTATTCACAGCCAAGGAAAGGTCCAAGGTCAAGGATCAGGTCTCTTGGAGGGTACAACAGGTCAATGTTCCCCTTTGCTTTACAATGGGGAACTCAAGGGGATTCCTTATGATGGTCTAATGTATTATCTGGAGCAGGGCTGTTTTATTTTTGCCACATACAATGCCTCATCTGTGTCTAGCCCAATAAAAGAGTCCTGGGAGCAAGGAAGATGTGAGTGTGATATACAGCCCCATAATAAATAGACCTTGAACATTGCTGCCTGAGGGCAATTCCAAGAAACCCCTGGTGTAGCTCCTGCATTCTGGCAGTCAGCATGCCTGCTGTCGTCTCCTGGGGTTTCATCAAGGGCATTAGTGCCCAAGCTGTGAGATCTGGAGCAGGGGGTGGTTTTGCACCATCCCTGGCCCTGTAACGCGGGTTCTGCCTGGTTTTTGCAGGTGGGAATGCTGCTGGAATGAGGCAGCTGTTGGGGGGAGGCTCCAGGATCCCCCAGGACAGTCAGGGGTGCGGGGTTTAGCTCGGAGCCAGCCCCTCCGTGGGCTCTGTTGTCGGAATCTGTGGGTATTGGTGATTCCGAGATTGTAGAAAGTCTCTGTCTGTCAGCCCCGCTGCCAAAGCAGAAGCCATAATTCGTCTGTGCTGGTTTCAAGGTTGTTTATTCTGTTTATCTCTAACATGTTCTGCTGCCCTGCCGCAGCTCTGTCCTGCAGGGCAGCGTGTGGGGCTCTGCCCTCAGTGGGATGGTACAAACATTAAATACCACAAACTACCTGTGCTGGATTTACAATAACGTGCCAATATCTGTCACCTACGTTGGACAGTGTGTCCCCAGCCTAAACCAACAGAAAAATGCCAACACCACAGTGAAACATGGAGGGCATGAAGAAGGAGAAAAAGGACAAGGCACACCCAATTTCCTCCATCTTGTCCCCTCTGAACCCCTAATCTAGAATCCTAAAATTTTACTTTTGCACCCGTGCCACACTTAATTATTACTGATATCAAACACTCAGAGCTTGTAATTCATCCTGTAAGATTGAAAACTCATTTCCATGGACAGAGATCACAGCCAGTGTCTCTGGGGGCTCTGTCCAGGGGGGTTCCTGATCCCTGCCAGGGTCCCAGGGCTGCCTCCTCACCTCCCGCTCCTGCTGTCACCGCAGCTTTCCCGGCTGCAGAACCCGAGCGGCAGGAAGCTTTCCCGGGGGAGAAGGGGCTCCTTGTGCCGCCTGAGCGGTGGCTGTGCCATGCACCCAGTGCCAGCGGTGAGGATGGGCTGCCATGGGGAGGTGGGAGGATGCTGTGCTCAGAGCAGGGAGCTGATCCAGCCCAAAGCTCACTCTGGAAAGAATTGCTGTTTTTCAAACAAGCCGGTTGAATCCAGCTGGTTGTGCGACCCACCCAGAGATAAGGCTGGGGAGAGCAGCTGGGGCTGAGCTGATGCTGCTGCAGGCACAGAACCCCGGACTGGTTCAGGCTGGGTGGGACACCTTCCACTGTCCCGGGATGCTCCAAGTCCCAGGAGCTCCAAGCTCCAAGACCCTGTGCCAGGGCCTCAGCACCCTCCCAATATCTCATCTAACCCTGCCCTCTGGCCGTCCCTCCCTTCTTTCCACAACCCCCACCCCTGCACCAGCAGTGAATTGATTCAGAGTCACCTCATCTAGGTAGAAACTGCTTTCTAAAAATGTATTTTAGTGCTGGAGTAGTTTTCTGCAGATGTTCCCTGAGCGAGTGAGCTGTGGGATGTGGGCTGGTGAGTGAGGGACAATGTGCTAATGTGTGGTCAAGGCTGGCTCGGGGCTGGGAGTGAGGGATTAGGGCAGCCACAGCTTTCCTCTGTGGGGAGGATGAGTGGGCACAGCCCTGCAGAGGCTGGCAGGAGGGTGGCTGTGCCCAGTGGGACGAGCTCTCAGCGGCCAGGGCTGTGTCCAGTGCTGCTGGATCCCCACACGGTGTCCAGCTGACCTGGCTCACTTGGGGTGACACAACCCAGCTGCTTGAAACAATAAATCCAAGCAGGCGAATATGGCAGGGATTACAGAGGGATGCAAGCTGCTGTCATCCACAGGCAGGAGGATGTGGAAGGCTGGGGCGTTTGTTTGCTTATTTTTCCCTTCAGTGATAAACGTTCTCAGGAATGTGGTGGGATTCTTGTGGTGTCCTGTGCAGGGCCATGAGCTGGGCTCGATGATCGCTGTTGGTCCCTTCAGCTCAGGGTATTCCGTGATATTCTTTTGCAGCTTGGATGCACAATCACAGGGAAATGGGGCCGGGAGATGTCCATGGCTGTTCCTCACCAGTCCTGCTGCTCTGCTCTGCTCTCACAATTGGAGCTCAAACATGAGCGTCTCCTGATGAATGCAGCCAGGAGAAGGGGAGAAGGTTCCTCACTGCCTGCCTGAGGCCTCAGTTCCTGTGGTGCCTCATGTGTGGCAGAGCTTTGTAAGGCCTTGATTCTGTCCTCATCAGAAAATGACAGTCTAGGCATCATCATTTTCTGTGATTCTGGAAAAGAGCTGAAAAAAAAATCAATTTCAAGCCCCAGATATTTGCATCCTCTAAGGCAGTGTCCTATAAATCTAGTTACAGGTTCTTCTCTATTAGCAGTTAAGTGCTGGAACGCTTTTAAATATGAACAATGGTGATGGAGAAGGATAAAACCAAAATAGTGCTCCTGTGGCTTTGTGCAGGGTAGAATTAGGGAGCATAATCCAAATAATAACATCTCATGCTTTTATGGGGCTGTGTGCATATGGCGTAAATGACAGCTCATTAAACTTTATATCCTGCCTACAAGATAAGCATGCAATTAGTATTACATCCTTTTTTATAATTAGGAGGCCTCATCCAAAAAAATGTGGCTCACAAACCGTATTTGAAGGCGGTGACTCAGCCTGAATTAGGCTGTGGTGTGAGGATGGAGAGTATCATGCTTTAGAGGACTGAAAAAACAGAGACAAAAGGTCGAGCTGGTGTCAGGCTCCTGTGCCCACACCCACCCGTTGGAAAACACCGGGGGATGAAGTTTCTGAAGGCGGGCGTGGGTCCTGCAGCCCGAGCTCGGTGCAGCACCGTGCTCCATCCTCCCGCGGCTGGCAGGAGCGCTGCTGGCCCGGGCCCGGGGGCGTTTCACGGCTGAGCTGACAGGAATGCTCGCTGTGCGGGCAAAGCGGGGATCGCGGCCCCTCGGGGACCGCCTGAGCGGTGTTGGTGCTCCCGGCCCGGGCACAGCGGGCACCGCCGGGGCTTGGGGGGCTTCGCTCCGGCGGGGCCGGGGGTCCTGCCGTGGAACGACACCGGGATGCGAACGGAGATGAGCGCAGGGAAAAGAGCCGTGGTGCTGTGCTTGTGCCGGGTTTATTTTCTGGGTTTGCCCGGCGCTGCCGGTGTGTCCCGGTGTCCCGGTGCAGCCCCGCGGCCCCGCGGAGCAGCGGCTGCTCGGTGCGGCTGCGGTTTGCTCCGGGCCGGGGGAAGGAGGTGACGAGGAAAGGAAGGAGCAGGAATTTGGGTGCTGTGCCAAATCCCTGGCGTGCTCCCGAAGGAAGCGGGATGTGGGGAGAAGCCAGCGGGGCTGTGTGCGTGGCGACAGCCATATCGTCTGGGGGGAAACTGGTGACAGCCATCATCTGTGGAGGGAAGTAGTGACAACCATCGTCTCTGGGGTGATGCTTTTGGGGACACGGCGGTGGGCCAGGGCCCCACCGCCCTTCCCTTCCAGGGAAAGGAAGGGCAGGATGCGCATCCAGCCCTTCAGGAGATTACGGGTTCATTCTCTCAGACCACACCACTAAGCCCGGGCAGTAATCTCCAGCACAGATGTGCGATGATGGGAGCACAAACGTGCGAGCCGCCACCCGGCCGGGCCGGAGCGGCGCTCCCGCAGGCCGGGCGTGGGTTTCCCCGCAGCGGGGCAGGGCCGGGCAGCAGCGGGGCCGGGCCGGGCAGCAGCGGGGCTGGAGCGGGGCTGGAGCGGGGCAGGGCCGGGCTGGGGCCGGGCAGCAGCGGGGCAGGGCAGCAGCGGGGCAGGGCCGGGCTGGGGCCGGGCAGCAGCGGGGCAGGGCTGGAGCGGGGCAGGGCTGGAGCGGGGCAGGGCCGGGCTGGGGCCGGGCAGCAGCGGGGCAGGGCCGGAGCGGGGCCGGGCAGCAGCGGGGCAGGGCCGGAGCGGGGCCGGGCAGCAGCGGGGCCGGAGCGGAGCGGGGCAGGGCCGGATCGGGGCAGGGCTGGAGCGGGGCAGGGCCGGGCTGGGGCCGGGCAGCAGCGGGGCAGGGCTGGAGCGGGGCAGGGCCGGAGCGGGGCCGGGCAGCAGCGGGGCAGGGCCGGAGCGGGGCCGGGCAGCAGCGGGGCAGGGCCGGATCGGGGCAGGGCTGGAGCGGGGCAGGGCCGGGCCCGCCCCGGGCGGAGGCGGCTCCGCAGCGGCGGCGCGGGCCCAGGTGCGGGAGCGGCGGGCAGGGCATGGCCCCGCCCCGCCCCCGCAGCTGATTGGCCGATCGGGAAAAGAGGGCGGGGAAAAGCGGTGCCGGAGCGCGCCTATTGGCTGGTGCCGGCGGGGCGTGGCGCAGGCGGCCCGGGCGGGGCCCCAGCGCGGCCGCAGCGGCTCCGCCCCCGCGCGGCTCCGCCCCCGCCGCTCCGCCCGGCCGCGCTCCGGCCCCGCTCCGGCCCCGCTCCCGGCTCGGCTCAGCCCGGCTCGGCTCGGCTCGGCCCGGCCCGGCCCGGCCCGGCACCGCGCTCCCGCCGCCCGCCCGCACCCCCGGCTGCGCGCCTCGCCCTGAAAGCCCTTCCGTTTTGCGTTTCCTCCGGGTTTTTGCGCGCTTCCCCCGCCGTGCCGGGCAGCATGGGGCTGCCGGCGCTGGAGTTCAGCGAGTGCTGCCTGGACAGTCCGCAGTTCCGGGAGCGGCTGCGCTCGCACGAGGCCGAGCTGGACAAGACCAACAAGTTCATCAAGGAGCTCATCAAGGACGGGAAGTCGCTGGTCGCCGCCCTCAAGAGTAAGTGCGGGGCTGGGGGCGGCCCTGCGGGACCCCCGCCCGCCGAGCCCCGCCCGCCCCGCGCTGCCCCCGCCACGGGGGCTGCTCCATCCGGGCCGCCCCGGTGTGCCGTGCTGAGGCCGGGCCGCGGGGCCGTGCCTGCTCCGGCTGCGGCTCCGGCGGGACGAGCGCGGTGCTCCGGGATGTGCCTGGCCGTGCTCCGCGGGGACACGCGCGGTCCGGCTTCTGGAGCACCGGCACACGCACGGTCCGGCTTCTGGAGCACCGGCACACGCGCGGGCCCTGCCCTGCTCCGCCTCGGCGTGCGGGCCCGTCAGGGTGGCTCCATCGGGGCGTGCGGGGTTCCGCTCCTGCTCCATCGGGATGTGCGTGGCCGTGCTCCGCTGCGATGTGTGTGGTTCTGGTCCTCGCCCACCAGGTCCCGCTCCGTGACCCTCGAGGGTCGCATCCTTTGGGAGCGGTTTTCTGGGGTGGTGGGTTGGTGACTGCCCAGCCCTCTTCCCGCTCCGCTTGTTCTCTATCCCGGCTCCGCTCAGGGCGGGGGATGCCCGGAGCCCCCGGTGCCTCTGCCCGGGCTGACCCCTCCGGTGCCTTCCTCTCCGTCTCCATGGGGAAGCGGGGGTGGCTGCAAAGCTGCAAACCAGCGAGGTTTGGGTGGGAGGGGGATGCAGCCATGCAGGCTGTGGCTCCGGGGATGGGGAGACCCTCACCTGTGGCTGGCAGCGTCTCGGTGCTCCCTGATGCCCGGGCTTGGCTGGCTCCTGTCCCCACCTCTGCATGGCTACCTGCTTCAGCATTGGGTGCCCTCGGGGTGGTGTGCTGGGTGAGCTGCTCCCTAAGCTTTGGAGATGTTGTTTCTGCTGTTCCCTCACGGGGTCATTGGGGTTTTCTTGTGTTTAAGTTTCTTTGGCACAAACCACAGGGCATTTCCCCATCCAGGGGAGTGCCTGTACCCACCATGCTGGCAGCACACGTGGTCACCAGGCTGTGCCATGGGCTGACAGGGGCACATCACAAACAGGTGCCATGGAGGCCCTGCAGCATCACCTGCTGTGAACCAGCCTGGCCAGGGTCATTGTGGGGGCTGGGGGACAGCGAGGTCACCCCAGGGTGCACAGCAGGTGATGCTCCATCCATTCCCACCGCCCTGTCCATTCCCAGAAGGGCTGATTCCTGCTCCCTCCCTTTCTCACACCGAGCCCCATGGGTGTAGTTCCTCTGTGCTGAAGTAGCAGCTGGTAACATCTGGCTGACAGGGACTCCCATTGTACCAGTTCTTGGCATTTGGGGTTAAAAGAATCTCAAACCCGACGGCTGTGGGTGCATTTATGGCTCTGCAGCTCTGAGCTGTGTTCTGCTGTGCAGTGATTGCTGAAGGCAGCAGTGCCAGGCCCTGCCTGTAGCATTCATTTTACCCCAGAACAAATCCTACAGCGCTGCTCCTCACAGAAAATACATTTTGGGAGTGAGCTGGTGAGTCCTCAGGTGTCTCTGGGCTTCGCCAGTTAGCTCGTGGCAGGTGCTGGCTGAGGTGAGCAGCCAGCCCTGGGCAGGCTGTGTGAGGTATTTTGGGGTGTGCTGTGAGCCCCCTGGGCTCGGGGCTGCCAGGGGCTCCTGTGCCCCGGCCGTGCCGCACGCCCAGCGCCGGGCAGGAAGAGCGCTCGCTGGCCTCTGCAGATAAGGATGTTTTTATGGCTGAATTGTTTTGTAGCTTCTATTGAATGTGTTCCTGGATTAGCCCTTAATTCCTGCACAGGGCTGGGGGCAGTTCAGCGGGGCAGGGACGGGAATAATGCTGATTCTGCTGCGGGGTAAATCAGCGCCCAGGCGCCAGCCCTGCCTGCCCTGCCGTGTGGCACCGGGGTGGCCCCAGGGCTCTCTGGGGCAGGGTTTGGGCCATGTGGGGCAGGGCAGGCTGGGAAGGGGTGTCCCCTCCCTGGCTGGGATGCTCGGCCCTCTGTGCATCCTTTTCCTGCTGTAGGAGTACTTCAGGAGCTGTGGGGCTGCTTCAGGCTGTGATTCCTCTGACTGATCCGGTGCTGGGTGGGATCTGGGCTGGCTCTTCCCACCTGTGTCACCCTCAGTGTGTGACAGGCCTGATGTGCTGCATGAGCCCTTGCAGACCATTCCAGTGTCCAGCAGCAGGGATGGAGGTGCTTCAGGGGTGGGGAGCTGCTGTGCTGCCTGTTGCTGGTTGTGTCACAGGGGCTGAGATGTCACCCCTGTGAGCCAGTGCACCTCTGGGGGACATTTCTGACTGATCAGGAGCTTGCTTTTCTTAGCTAGCTTTTATTTTTCATGGTGTTTCCATGTGGTTTTGGTTTGTCTCCATGGCTGGGCATGGTGGCCTTATCTCGCTGTCATTGTCCCCGTGCTGCTCCTCAGCTGTTGTGGCTGTGGAGCTGGGCAGGCCTGGGGGCAGCAGACCCCTGCCCCAGGCCATGAGGGGTTCTGGGGGTGCCCTTGGGCAGTGTGACTGCCTGCAGCCAGAGTTCCGTGAGATCTTGGCAATATCCTCCCTCGTTTTCCTTCCTCTTGCCTTTTCTGCTGAACGTTTCACATCCTCTTTGCACGGGGGCAGGCGTGGGGAGAACGTGGAGCTCTGTGCTGTTGCTGAGGGGCCGTGGGGCTGGGCGGCGGAGGGGAGGAAGATGAAGAGGGAGGAAGAGGAAAAGCCCTCTGCAGAGCTGGGCAGGAGCAGCAGCACGGGCACGCAGGAATGGTGAGACTGGAGTAAGGACACGGAACAAAGTCCCTGCCAGGGTTTGTGAAAAGGCTGCTCTGCCCTGCTTTTGTCCTCAGTGTAGGTACAGAGAGAAATAGGAATGATTCACAGCACTTTCTCCTTCCCTTAGAAGAAAGAATAAATTCAGAAGGTTGAAAATGATCCTCATTTGCTGAAGGGCTGGTCTTGCTAAATGTCCTCAGATGCCAAGGGCATCTCTGGAGTGTGTGTGTCTGTGTGTACATAAATGCTGTTGGATTTTTTCCCCCAGTGAGTTTCTGTGCCTGTTTCCATTGTCTCCCTTTGCTGCTTGGCTGGTATTCAGTGACCTGGTTTTCAGCAAAACGTGTCCCTCTTCCTCCCTGATCCACCATCCATAAATTATTCAGAAAGTTTTGCAGATGCAGAGACTTCAAGTGTGACATAAATAATGAACTCGAAGCCTGGATGCCGTGAAACTCGTTCTGCAGCGCAGGAGCTGTGGTGACCATCAGGACCAGGATGCTGAAGGATTTTATCCCTTTGCCTGTCCCTGTGCCTGTGTGAGGGCCAGGCAGGGAGCCAGTGGCTCGTCCCTGTGCTGGCATCACCTCCAGCCCCTGTGCTGGCGCGGAGGGAGAGCTGGAGCCCAGGGTGGTGATGTGGAGATGCCCACAGCTTGCTTTGGGAAACAAACAGCACACCTAAGGATAGAGGATGTGGGCGTGCAGGGGCTGCCAGCCATCACCTCCCCCTGCTGGAGCACAGGGCTGAGCCTGGCACCCTCCTCCTCCTCCTCCTCCTCCTCCTCCTCCTCCTCCTCCTCCCCCCTGTGCCCTTCTCCTGTGCTGCCATCGCCGTGTCCTGCTGGCCATGGGGCTGTTGTCCCCTTCAGGCAGTGGGTGCAGCCTGGTGCCCTGCCACGTTTCTGCTGGTTTGTTTTCCTTCTTCCAACTCCCAGGCACTAATTTGAAGCCACCAAACCCGTCCACGCCCCGGCTGCTGCCATGCTCCCACGGCACAAACTGCAATTTGTGTGGTGGGGCTGGGCTGGGGGAGGCTCTGTGAGCCCCCTCCCCACGGGGGCACACGGGCTGGGACCAGGTGGGGCTGTGCCATGCCTGGGCTCCCACGGGAAAGGTGGAGGTGCCCGTGCCCAGGAGGCACAGCTGGTTTGGTGGTTTGGATCACTTTTCCTTGTGCTGGTTTCTTGGCCAGGTCACACAGAGCTGCAGCTGGCAGTGAGGAGGGACAGGACCGAGGGGGTGATGCTGGGCTGGACTTGGATCCTGCAGTGCCTGGGAGCTCCTCTGGTCATGCCAGCCTCACGGGGCACACGCTGTGGCACTGTCCCTCATGCCAACATGTCCCCACTGGCTGTGGGAGCAGCCGGGGGTTGCCCCTGCTCCCAGCTGAGGTTTGCTGCCACAGAGGGGTGGTCCCCCTTCTGTCTGTCCTGCAGGGTGTGATTTTAATGCGTTGCCCCCTGGGCTGACCCCTGTGTGCCCGGCCACCATGGGCAATGCCAGCTGGGCTTTTGCTGCAGCTCTGGGGTGTTTCCTGGGACACATCCTGCTCCGGGGCTGCTGTGCAGCTCAAAACCTGCAACGGGCTGGTGGGGTGGCTCCTGGTGGTGGTCCAGACTGGGGGATGTGCTTGCACATGGGTTCTGTTCCTCAGGTCTGCAGCTTCCTGGTGAAACCAGGCCTTTATGAGACGTCTGTGCCCGTGGCTGTGGGGTGGCAGTGCCTGTCCTGGCTGGAGCTGGCGCTGGATCTGCCACAGACTGGAAATGAAAGTGAAACTTTTGCACCGTGTTTACTTCATTCCCTTTTTACACAAGCAAGGCTTAGGCAGGTGATAAGGAAACGTGACAGGGATTGCCCACTCTGCCACTTTGTCATTGCCTGTGCCATCCTGCTCCCCATGGTTCAGCTTGCTTGGTCCCCTGGGAGTGGGTCAGGGAGCCCTGGCTCGGCTGGGCAAAGGGCAGGCAGGCACAGGCTGCTGTGCACTCCAGGTGCCCTCGTGTGCCTCTGCAGGGAGAAAACCCTTGGGTGTGCTGGAGCGTGATCCATCTGGGGCTGCTGTGTAACCTGCTGCCATCTGCGGTGCCAGCTCCTTGTGCCCCGGTGTCTGGTGCTGGGGAGAGGGAATCCAAAGCCCATCTTACGTTATTGCCATCCTTCCTGCTCTTCTGACCCCTGAAGAAAGCACTCACAGCCCAAACCTTCTCGCCAGCTTTGCACAGAGGGATCAAGGGTCAGAGGTTTAGGTCTGGCCTTTGCGGGAGCAG